ATGATTATTTTATTTATTTTTTTTTTTTTGCACATTTGACAAGGGCCAAATTGTGATGGCTAATCAATTGAGTCAGACATTTGCAAGCTGCAGCTTCTGTGGGCTGTTTCCTTTGTGCAGTGCTTAGCATCCATGAAAAACCTTCCAAAGGAAGGTGTTGACTTGGCCTCTAAATCATCCAGATCTCAATCCAATGCAGCATCTGCTGGATGTGCTCTGCAAACAAATCCAATCCATGGAGACCCCTCCTGGACTGAAGGGATCTGCCGCTTGGTGCCAGATACCACAGCTCACCTTCCCACTGGTAGAGTCCATGTCTCAGTGATTCAGGGCTGTTACACCAGCATAAGTTTGACCAACACACTATGATTCATGTGGTTATTTGTCATACCTGATTGGTGAATAATCTAAAATAGACCAGAATACAATAATTTGCCAACCCTCGTGATTAAACTATTCATAGTTTTGCTCACGTCAACACCACTGATGAGAACTGTTTTTAATTTTAGGATTCAGAAATAATGAGCGACATTATCATGTCCTTTTACAATCTGCTGTAATTCGTAAAACATGACATTCCAGTCTTTCCCTCTATGGCTGCATTTTTAATTTGAAACAGAAAACGACCACAGAAAAATACTCAAATTCACAATTAATGAGCTCTCGGTTATCTAAAAGAGAAAAAGAATATACCCAATCGCAGGTGAATTAAATTAGAATTATCCTTCTTTTGTTCTGTGTAGCAGTGGAGTAGACAAGGCATATAGAAATATATAAACTAGTATGTTTTTAGAGTCCATTTCTTCAGGACTTTCTTCAAAGATGAAGGGACTGCTGTGAAGATATAGCTCATTTAAAATGTACAAGTTATTGTTTCTGTCTGGATTTTACTGGTGCTGCTCTGCAGGAAACTGTTTGTGTTCATGTAAAAATGAAGATATCAGAATAATCGATTCAGATGAATCACATGAACGAAGAAAAAGGATAAATGATGAATGGAGAATTTCAGATTATTTTAAAAGATAATGCAGGAGGATACACCAATTTTGCTAAAATGCTATTTCCGTGTTTAAAATTTTTTATGAAAGGCTTGCCTCCACAAAGGCATGCCTGATGAAAATTGAGTGGAATTGCATAAAAAGGCAGTAGAAAGACTAATGGTACACTGTTCAAAATATTTTAAAAAATACCATAAAAGGAACTGGTCTAGACATTGTTTTGAGCTTCTTAAAATTCAAAAAAAGAAGTTCTCTCAGAATAAAGTTAATACACATCAAAGTGTTTTTTTTTTTTCTCTCTAGCTGATGGCATCTTGGAGGAGAGCAGACAGTCCACAGTGTGTGTGGAGCCATATATGGGTTAGAATGCAGACACACATGGTCAGCAAATTCACCAGACATCAAAGCCAGTATGCATCCCTTCTGTCAGCCTCCAAAGGGAATGTACCAGCAAGGTAAATGGAGATTTTTGTATACTGGATTCTGTAGTAGAGGGAGAGAGAGAGGACAAAAAGGAAGGAAAAAAAAACAAGAAGTTGAGTTAAATCCACCTAATATAGCAAAGGAAGCATTAAAATAATAATCTGACTAAATATATGCATGAACAGAAAAGTGGCTCTGACAGAAAAAGCTGAGAATAGGAAGAGTAGATCCTCTTCACATATGGATTTGCATATGGAGCGGCTGCTCCCTTCACCAGTGATCCGGCTCTCACTGAACAGGTGTGAGGCAGGAGGCTTTGGGACGATCAGAAAGAGACAGTGAGTTAGAGTTGTGTGCATTGCCACCAATCATCTTAAGCTCCAGGTTCAGCAGTCCTAAAAACCAGAGATAAACTATCACATGTATGTTATTTCTCAAGGAGAACCATCTGCATACTTGTGTCTTTGCTCCATTCTAATGAAATTCTCTTTTTGGGGTCACAAAATTAAATGGAAAGAAAGATGCTGTGGTGGGTGTGCAGTCAATAACAGTGACTTTAATTCTACAGTAGTTTAAAGTACAGTGTATTCATACTTGCTGAAACTTTTCAAATATTGTTAGTGTGCAACCACAAGCTTCAATGTATTTGATTAAAATTTTACATAACAGGACAACACAAAAGTGTGCATACCTGTGAAGCATAAGAAGATTATTCATGGTTTTGTAAAAAAGCTGGGATATCTCTAGCAGCTTTCCACACCTACAGACAAAAGACCTTCCCCATTGTTCTTCACAAAATAGTTCAAGTTCAGGCAGATTGGATAACGAGCATTTGTGAAGATCAAAGTTCATATCTTTGGGATGGGGATGTTGTGTTCATAGTGAAACAGAGTGGTAGTTTTTCAACACAGATACTGTTTGGGATGTAGTTCAAATAGTTTAATGTTTATCTCATATGACTAGAGCACCTTCTTCCACATGTATTCTGGTTTGTAGCGTTTTCTAAGTGATACTTCATGTATATTTTTTTGTTTTAACAGTGTCTTTACTTATGTTTCTGATAATAAAGATTATATTCATGGACTGCATGACTTACAGTTTTTATATCCACAGGTTCTCCTACCTGAGCTGTGGATCTCTGCCGCTCCTCCAGAATGACTCTGGGTCTCTTGGTTGCGTCTCTATTTAATGCTCTCTTTGCACTCTGAGATACTGGTTTATAACCTAACCTTGCCGTCACATTTCATTTAGGGATACTTATTTATGCTGCTTATTATGAAACAAATGTCATTCATTCATTTTGGTTCCAAGCTTTACGTCACGATTCCTGACTTGAACATTTTTAGCTTGTCGGCTGCAGTCTTTTGTTTGTGATAAATAGTTGCAACAACCAGTGCTTTTTTTTGGCCTGATTTATTCCCTTGTCACTAATGTGGCCACAACAAAACAGCAATTATATAACTCCTTGTTTAAAACTGTGTATGCTGGCAGCATTTAAAACGTGATCACACAGTCAACTTTTACCAGGTTGTCATTTTTAAAAATATTTAACCTAGAGAAAGTTATTCACATTTAAATAAATGTTAATTCTTTCTCTTCTGAACTTTCAGAAAGATCTCTTTATTTGTTTTTGTACATTTATTGATAGAATGATAATCTAACATTGAAATAAAAAGCTCACCAACTTACAATAACTGTGAATTAAAATGTTTGTTTAGAGCTACTACTTTTTGAAATCTAGCTGCCATGAAACTTAAGGCGGATACATTCTTAACCATATTTAATCAGAAACACAATTGTAACAGAATTTAATGCAATGATTTACTGAACTCTTTTGGCTGGTGTTTACTGATAAAAGTCATTTGTGAGATTGGTTTAGTTTAGTCATTGCTCAAACTATCTAAGAATTGGTTCACAACATATGAAATCTCCAGTCCATTAAGGCAAGTTTTCTTGAGGAAAAAAAAACAAAAAAACGTTCAGGCAGGTTATGCAGCCAGCAGTTGCTTAAATGGGCGGGTTAAAATCATTTATGCAAACTAGCTTTTCCATGAAAACCATTTCTTTTTCTGCAGTCTTTCTTGAGCCGCCTGTGCCAGTTCAAGAAACCAGCTCAATTGATTGAGAGGTAATTGAGTTTTTCACTGACCCCCTCCCTTTCCATCAGTGGAGGAATCATACTTCAGCTGCAAAACTGCAACCCTCTCCAGGCTACATTTATTCCTGACAGATGGGCTGATTGCAGCTGCTTTCTTCAATCTAACATGACATCTTATTGCTATTACCTAATTCTCCCCCTCAGTCATCATCCTTTGACTTCCTGAAAACGCTGGATGGCTCTTCCTTCTGTCTTTCAAGCTTGGGTGCATCATCACTCTCTCACTCTCTCCATCTTCATATGCTTATACCTGTTTTTATGTGCTTCATCCTTCCCAAAATGTATGCACATTCTTCACTCTCTTCATGCAAGTGAATGTGAGGATGTAAAGGGTGTGTCCTTTTGCCACTATCAGAGAAAGTCGCCTCGAATCAACAAAGTGAATCTGATCAAGAGTAATGGATTTAAAGTGTTTACTTCATTGCATCATATTACTCTAAAGGAATGGTGTCAGGATGCAAGTTTAATTTTTACTCTGTTATATCAAGTATTGAATAGAAATGTTCTTTAGAATGAAAGAATCTGTGAATTTGTTCCATTTTTCAATTGGACGACGAAAATCAATTAAACTCAATTAAACTTCAGTGATAGTTTAATTTATTGATAGGCATCTATAAATGGTTTCACTTTCACACCTAAGGACAATTTAGAGGGACCAATTAACCTGACAGTCATGTTGTTTGCAGTTTGGGAGGAAGCCAGAGAGAACATGAACTGGGAGAACATACAGATAAAATCTGGGGGATTCGAACCCAGGACCTTCTTGCTGCAAGGAACAGTGCTGCCTAATTTTATACAGTTTGGTTTGTATGTAATTGTAAGTGAAATCAACTGTACGCTTATGTCCACTGTTAATCTAACAGAGCCCATAATGAATGTTTTCAGCTTCACTGACTTTCTTTCTTTTCCTGTACACGTTTAATTTCCTGAGACCGTTTAAGTGCCTTTATATTCTCCTTGTTTCAGGTACAGCTGTTTCCACAGGAGTATTATTGTGTAGACAGTCAACAAATATAGCAAGAGACTCCCAAGTCGTCTAAAGACTGCACATGGCAAAACTGAACGCCAACACATCGGGGCCACAGAGCCCAGACATGCAGTTGAAACACAACATGAATTATTCCTCTGAATAAAAAAATATGAGCATGCTTCTGTGCATGTGTTGGTGTTTTTGCTGGAATGTTTCTGGGGATAGAGTGTGTGTCTGTCTGTGTGTGTGTGTGTGTGTGCATGCATGCATGACTCCTCATGAGGACAAATTGAATGTTTCTAAACTATAAATAGCTGCAGTGCATCATCAGAGCTTCTTTCCCTTATCAATATCAATAAAACCTACAAGAGCTTTAAGTGGTAAATTGTGACTTTACCAAAAGTTATCAGAAAGACTAATGAATGTTTTCAATGACAGCAAGGTGACAGAATTACTGAAGAATCACTGAATAATTTTATTAACATCGTGGTAATCTTAAACAAATACATGGTGTCAGCATACAGGGACGAGTAGAGTGATAAGTGCTCACATGTCCCCATTTTAAAACAGGAAACCACCAAAAAAAAAAGAAAAAAAAAAGGAAAGAAATCCTAAATGAAATATATTCCTGAGATGCAAAAGAAACAAAACTGATAAAAATAACAGCACATCACTACATGCGATTGTGTCACACGTGATCAATGCGGCGATATTGAAACTGCGCTGATTGACGTCTGCGTTGATATTTCAGGAGGAACAAAGAGCTGGATTGAAGGTAAACTGTACAGCAAAGGCATGTGGAGAACCAGACAGGGCACGGAAACTGTGTCAAAACAAAATCCTGAATTATTTAAAACCAGTCAACAAAGCAGATTCTAAGCCAGAACAGATATCATTTTCACCTCAACCTTTAGTGACTTGATAACATTTTCCATTAATATGAACATTCAATATACTGCTTACGAGTCGAATCTACATAATGGCGGGGACTTTGAGAAAGAGAATGTGATTTGCTCCAGTAACAATGCAATGTTTTTAAAGGGATAGTTCAGATTTCCTTATGTGTCGTTCTGTGAAATTATTGTTAGTGCTAGTTCCCCTACCTGCAGCAGACCAACGTCCGTCTTGTGGTGTTCTGCTAAAAGTTAAGTTAAAATTAAAACTTAAAATTTTAACCAATTAGACCAATTTATAAGAACTCACACTGAAGATGGGCCATTATTTTAGCAATTAGTAATGATTACACTAATATAACGTCAGTGTCGCAACGGGAAAGCTGTTTGGTTGATAAAATAGAGACGATACTGTGAAACTGCATCTAATTAGTATGCACTGATCTTACTAAAATGCAAAAAAAAAAAATATTTTGGGTGATCTTAAATAGCTAAAGCATACTGTGTGACTAAATGTTGTCCTTCCATTGCTCTGAAAACTTGTTTGCCAACGACATCAATCTGGTACAGGTATGGGGGCTGTTACTGATAGTAACATCCACAAACATCTCTTCAAAAATGCCAAATTACCCTTTAAAAACACATTAGCTTTCATCCAATGCATAAAAGAAGCAGGTAGGCAGGAAGCGGATACAGATAAATAATAAAGAGCTAGCTCATTTATCATAATGTCCAGTTTTGCAGACTGAAGTTTCTTTACAAAACACAATTCTGCATCTGCTCTTTAATAGAGAGTAACTTGTCCTTTTCCGGTGTATTTTACAAGCCCACACAGAAACAGGCAAACATTATTCTGCTCCAGGTTTGATTATTTGACAGACAATTCTCAGCTGGTGGATAAAATAATGCTGGGATAACTCATCTAATTCTTTAACTTCAGGCAAACAGCTTTTTTGTACCTGGCTGTAAATCTGTGCAGGCTATAGACAACATGACCTGTAGCAAAAGAGGTAAAAAGGGTGTTTTTTTTTGCAAATTTGCACTGGTGTGTAGACGTCCCAGCCAACGTGAAAATTGGTCATAAAATTGCGAGCAATTTCCTGCCAAAATTGCAGCCAGGATTGTGCTGCTTAATCTGCATAAATGCACAACCTCACCCGCACCGAGCACACCTTCAGCGGAAGAAAACGGGGTTGCTATAAACCAGGAAATTAGAGAACCAAAAATGACAGAAATAGCCTGTCGCTTAAAGAACATGGCATTGCAATCGTACAAGTTTGTGATTTTAAGAATGGAGTTTTAAGCTCATAATCTTGCTTACCAAACTGACATAAAATGGGTAATTAGTTTTTTTTTTTTAAAGCTTAGGTTCTTCAACTAACGTTAAACATGAGGAAAAAAAAAGAAGAAATTAAAAAAGGACCAGCTACAATTGGATCTGTATAATAAAGGAGTGAATGGTGGCATGAGCGAAGCTGTTAGAAAAAAAAAAAACAAACAAAAAAAAAAAAATCAAAACAAAATTGAACAAGATTTAAGTTTGGTCTATTGATTATAAAAAGCCATTGCAATAAATCAACTCAGTACTTTCATTTCAAACCAAATATTTACAGTTGGTTTCTAAAGAAAAAAAAACCCACACACATTTTAACATTTACTAAGAAATATCCATCAAATTGTAATGGCCAGAGTGCATAATTCAGTAAATGGCACCTTTTCTTTTCCAATGCCAACACCAACTCATCACTGCAGACCTTTTGTTAAATATCATGTCCTAACTTTTCTCATTTCTAAGATGGGTACACAGATGGAATGCAACAGAAAATGTGAGCATTATATCTAAAAGATTTTTTCTGCAAAAGAGTGGCAGATAACCGCAAGAGCTTTTTAAAACAAAGTTAAATCTGTTAACCGTGTGGTGAAGGTTGAAGTGCACAAACGTGTGAAACAACAAAATTGTGCTAATCAACAATACCTAAAAAAAATATATTTATCCCTACATACACTGTGACAAGAAAAAAATTATGCTGATATTGATCTAAGGATTTCTAACATGTGATTCTCTCCAGTTATGAAGTCCAACATTGCCGTACAGAGCAAGACAGTTTGCCATTCAACCATGTTTGCATAAAGTTGTAAACTGGCCATGAAACTGGAGACAGCAGGGCCTACTTTTTTATTGCCCTTGGTAATAATTTGCTTCATCCAAGTAGATTACTGCTGTTGGTTTTTATCACACTTTTCCAGGAGACTAAGTCAGTCAAACTCCTTTAAATCAATACAAAAACAGAATTGATGGAGGAAAAGAAAAAGTATCCCCATAACATTATACCAGCAGCAGTCGGAGCTGTTAATGCAAGGCAGAATAGGTCTATGGTTTTCATGTTGTTTGATGCAATTCTGATCCTACCATCTCAATACTGCAATTGCAATTGAGATTTGCTGGACCAGGCAATCCAATCTCCCATTGTCCAATTTTGGTGAAGCTGTGATTTCTAGCCACAGTTTTGAGCTCTTAGCTGACAGGAGTGGAACCCAGTGTGGGATTCTGCTGCTGTAGCCCATCTGTTCTAAGTTTGAAGCTCAACATGTTGAGTGTTCAGAGATATTATTCTGCATTCCTGATTATTTGGGCAACTTTTGCTTTTCTACTATATCAAATTAGTCTGTTCATTCATTTCCATGCACCGATATCGACGGGATCTTTTTTTCCACACAAATGATACTATTTGCAAATCATTTTCAAAATATTCAGTAAGTTGAGTATGACAATCTCTGTAGATCAACAATTTCTAAAATACTTAGACCAGCCTATCTGACACCAGCAACCACCCCACGTTCAAACTAATTAAAATGTTCTTGCTCATTCTGATGCTAGGTTTGAACTTCAAAAAGACGTCTTCACAATGTAAAGACATCTAAGTGTTTAGAAGTTTTGCCATGTGGTATATGTGAATATGCAGTATTTGTGTTAACTGAATAAACAAGTACACCTAATAAAGTGGTCAGTGAGTATCAAATGAGTATCATTATTTTTTTGCCACCAACATAAAGGTAACATTTTAGCTGATTCCTCTTGAAATATGTTGTAGTTTTCATTTTGGGCAATGGGTATATAAGCAATTATATATTTTATTTTGTTGTTACGTATAAATAGCCGTTTTAACATCAATTTGTGCCAATATTTATATGACTTATCATTAAGCTTGACTGTTATTGTAATATTTTATTCTTCAGACCTGCAGTACCAAAACAATGTACTTCCGTTGTGATTCTCTGGTCAATAACTTTAGTTTAAATAAATTAAAAGTAAAAAAAGAAAGAACAAAAATCATGCTAATGTGTAGTACCAAAGTGTTGTTCTTACACATTATGTACATGCTTTGCACAAAAACAAAACAGAATTTTTTAAAAGTCTTATAAATGAAAGTAATAGTGGCAAATATACATTTGAAGGAATACAGGAGTCCAGAATTTAACAGCAATTTTTTTTTTTTTTACAGTCAACCACATTTTAGCAGACACAATATATAACAGGGAATGGGATACAGTTTAAACCAACAATATTAGAGTTTTTTAATATAAAAAAATTACTTAGCTTACATTTTCAAAAAGATGCACTTTCATCTTTCCATTACCTTTTAGATTAAAAGAATCGTTCCCAAGGCAATTTAGTTGTTGGCAAAGGAACACAGTAACTCATTCTGTCAAATTTTGTGCTTTTCTGTTTGCCTCCAGTTTTTACATTTTGGAAATGGGACCCAAGCAGATGTATTAGCCAGCACTCTCAACATTTCTCTCCAATTTCATTTTTTTACTTTCAGACCTCATGAAATGGAACGGTGACTGACTAAATGGGAAATAAAAAGACTGACTAATGCAGTTTAAGTTTGCTCTTTAAAAACTAGTGAAACATAACTTGTACAGTGGCAGTCCAAACTTCATTATCAGTTACCTACTAAGAACTGATAATGTTCTTCAGTTTTCCACAAGGCTAAATTTCAAGAATATGAGCAAGGTAAGAGAATGCTTGTTTTAGAGGATGAGCCACAAGTCCAGATGACCTCACCGACGCAAGTAATGGGAGTGCATTACTGCTTTTTCCTGCAAATCGTTGTCTCCTATATTACAGGATTTATTATTCACAAGTGAAAGGCTGCTGTCTTTTTGTTTTAGATCAACTTTATGGTACAATCTTTGAATCAAATGAGACGAACTAGCAAACTAGTAGCCATCTTTTAACCAAAAGACAACGTGTTGGATCATCAAAACCTCTACCCTGATGATGTGAATATTTGAATTGAAACCTAAAGATTAAAGGTGGACACTACAACTGATTTACAGCCAGTGCTACAGCTGTTTATGATGAAAACCAATGGAGAGACGTCCATTAGCGTATCCCACATAGTCAAAATATGTTATCTTTTCTGCCTGTACCTCAATCTATCGATGCCCCAATACCTCAAACTACAGATTTGAGGTGTTATCCTCAAATCTACACACTGCTACGGTTTTATTTTGCTATTACAGAAACCTTAAATTGTTCACTGTATATTTCATGAGGCCTTTTAGCTGCAAAATGACTTTATTATGATATGAACAGAAAGTAAATTATTAAAATGTGAAAAGTGAAAAGAATTTCAATACAATTTTTACAGATTTTGAGACGTGGAGATTTCTTTCTGTACATCTGAACCGTTAATGTAAAACACAGACTACTGTAAGCTGTCCAGATAGGGTTTAACATGTTTCACTAAGCTGCTGTCTGCACGGTGCAGGGATGTACAGAGTAAAGTACACAGGGACAGCAGATTTAGCAAAAAGCCACATCTACTCTTTCAAATATTTTTGGTGGGTCTTTGCTCTAAACAACACCGTGCTAACCCTTATTACTCCTACCCTAATAGTGAAAATCATATTATACACTTATCTGACGGACCTTGCTACAGTGTTACACAAAACCTTCGTCTTATCTTACAAGGGTCCACTGCTTAATTACAAGTTTATTCAGAGGGGATGGGAGGGTCAGGCGCAGTGGTTCATCTAAAAGTACCATATTCAGTGTGATAGACACGTATAAGGCGTAAACAGCACAGATCATTCAAATAAAAAAGGACGCAATGTATAATTAAAAGCTGTGAACTAAGCAATGAAATGAGCTACATATAGCATTTACATTGCTACCGACAGGCGACACATGAAGGCATTGAAAGAAGTTCGATGGCGTCTGTATTTTTAGGCACCGTGTTGACGTTAGATATGTGAGGGGGGCATGAGATACAACGTGTGGCAGCGTGTCTGCTTGGTGGGAAACAGGAAAGAGGGTGAACAAGAGGTCATGTAAGAAGCAGCCATGGCAGAGATATAGATTTCCAGGAGTTCGTGTCACTAGACGAGCAAAAAACATGAGAATGGGCAGAGCTTCAGGAGCAGCATCAAACTGCATGTGGAAGATAAAAAAAATCTCCCAAAAAGGACAACCCCCCCACCCCCCAAAAAAACGGTAAAATGTAATACAGGAAAATGCTGAACCAGAGGACATAATAATAATAAAAAGCTCGGGGAACATCTCTGCCTGCGGGCTGTGTTGACTCAAGGGGGGCAGTGGCCACAGGTGAAGACGAAAGTGGGGGACAGAAAGAGAGAGAGAGAGACTATAAGAAATAGAGGGACTGAAAGAAAAGGTAGAGAGCAGCACAGCTCCCTATGCAGTCTAAATGAAGTATTCCTTCTTTTCTTCTGCGTGTGCGTGGTTGCCTTCAGCGTTGATGATGGCTGTGTCGGCATCGGGCGCGTCGTCCGCTCCTTTGGCTTCGTTCGTCAAGTATGTTCCTGCAGAAGACGGGGCGGGGGGGAAAAAAAAAAAAAACAAACCCATCTCAAGGAAAACAAATACTGAGCAGCCCTGCATGGCGTTGGCTGCCTGGGGCAGACAGCACATCTGAAGACAACATCAGTGATGCTACATTATTCATAGACAGAGTGATGAGAAGCTGGGATAGTGTGGTAAATGTGAGTAAAGCCCTCTGCAGACACAACCCAAAAGCATCAACAAACACGCAGGCCATTTTCAGACTGACAAGACTTAAAATACAGCGATGCTGTGCTCAGGGTCAAATGTTTTAGCATTGCTGCTGAATTCTGACCATCACCTTTATATTTTAGATAAGCACTCCCTGTGATTTCTTTTAACCGAGTTTGAGCATGTGCTCCAAATGAAATTCTTTTTAGAGGAAGTTGCAAAAATATGTTCTTTGCATTTGTTGCAATAAAAAACGGACATAGTTGAAAAAATAAAATAAAATCTATGCTACTCTGAAAATTATTACAGTAAAACTAATCAATGCAATATAAAAGTAGTAATTGATTGTTATGCATTGTGTTTAATTGTTGGTTCAATTTCGGATTAATATAATTTGGGATTAATTAATGCTAATTAATCTACATGTTATTATTCCTTTTTAAGCTTATTGTTATTCATTGACACACACACACAAAAAAGGCATATGTCGACTTACAGTGCCTAGTAAATGTACTAATGTTCACTATTTACTAATTTGGTAATCTCTGAAGAATGTTGGTTGTTCTGGAATACATTTATCAGGCTCAGCGGTGGAAACTGTGGTAGGAATCTGTCTAATAACTGGAGGGTTTCCAGTTCAAAGCCCCACTTTCTCTGTTTCAGTCGTTGTGTCCTTTGACAAGACACTTCAACCACCTTACTTGCTGGTGGTGATCAGAGCGCCTGGTGTCAGACTGCCCCAGGGCAGCTGGGGCTACAGTGTAGTAGCTTGCCACCATCTGTGTGTGAATGCGTGTGTGTATATAACTCAATGTAGTTTAAAGTGCTTTGCGGTCCTCTGGACTTGACTAACTATTTAGGAGTTTCCGATAGGACGGACTACATGCAAATCCAAGTCACACTTTTAAGATTGCTAATTTTTAAAAAGTTTTGAAAACCCATATATCATTTTACGTCCATTTCAGTATTTTATCTTTTGCATGAAATCCCAATTAAATATAAAACTTTGGGAATTCAATTACAAGGCGACTAAGTGTAGAAACATTCAGCTCAAATCAAAGTCATTTACATAACATTTCCCAAGTGTGCAAAACGCATTCTATCCTAATCCAGCGGTAACTTTGAAAAGAAAGAAGAGCCGCAGTCTAATATTTGACAAGTAGAGCACGCTCCACTGATTCAATGGGCCTTGAGGTCTGGCCCATTGTGGTTTTACCTTTATGCCTGGCCAGGTATCTTCCCAGAACAATGATTAAACACAAGGTGACAAAGACCACTACAGCCACCACTCCTCCAATCAAGGCATGGTCGGTGCCATGCTGCCCCAGCGCATTGGGATCTGAGGAGACAGGGGAGAAAGAAACAAAGAGAGACAATCAAAGTGTTGGTTAATGAGGTGAAGGAGTGAGCACAGGGGAACAACAAAAGACAGACAGCACAAACCAGAGAGCAAAGAGAAGAAAGAAGATTATTTCCAGTTTGTTCCTGCTTTAACGGTTGTTCTTAGCTGCTGTCATTCCTTCCCTCTTACACTTCATGCATTCAGAGCAGAGAGCCTGTGAAAACTCTCTGAGAATATTAAAACGGAGAAGACGAGAGATGGACATCACACTGACACAAGAAGAATAGGACTGCGATGACAGTCATCTGGCAAAATGAATAAAAAAAAAGAGAATGTATAAGGGACTTGGTTTAAAGATGTAAATTATTTAGCACATCCCCTACTGAGTTGCAGGGGTACTCAGCATGCAAATCAGGGCAACAGCAGAGAAAAAAAAATGTTATACAGTAAATAAATCATTACACAAAAAAGTAGGGAGGATCAATCTTTTTTTCAGTTCTTGGAGAGAGGGAATTAATGTTAGGGAAAAGAATTAGATGTCAGAGAGTTGCTACAGGTCCCCAGCTGCTGGAAAGTAGGAGAATGATAGAAAAAAACAAAAGTTATATATATATATAAAAAAAGAATAATCTTCCTGCTTTGCCCAGTGCAAAAACCCATATGTTTTTATGTCTGTTTCTTAACCCTTGTGCGTGTGAGGACTGAGGCAAACGTTAGAGGACTGTGGCAAATGATTCAAGTTGTACGTGTGTGGGGTCGGTTGGATCCCATTTCTGGACACAAGGGTTGACAGGAGGTTACTCACATTATCATGTCTGGCTGCTTTCACACAAAATCTAGTTTCTTCCACCCCGTTGTAAGCCTGGATCTGGAACAGACCCACTGTGGATGTGGAGAAGCAGAAGACACAACTCGGAGCTTTCAGCCTCTGAACTCAGGATTTTGTTTTTCGGTCATGATCCAAACCTAACGACCATAGATGGGTTTCCTTTCAGCTTAGCTCAGCTCTTCCTTCACCAATACAGACTGGAGCAGTCTTTGGATTACTACAGAAGAAGTCCCAACCCGAGACATCCCAAAATCACCCAGGAACAAGACACCAAAATACTTGTACTGTCCCATGATCCTTAAGGAGCACTTAAGTACTTAAGTATCAATACCGGATTTAGAGGAGCAGGCTCTCATCCCTTGCAATGTCGCACTTACAAAGCAACGAGACTCGTAGGTACACAGACATGACTGTAACGGTCAGGACAAAAACCACACCGCTCTTCCTGAATGTGAGATTTGACAGTCTGCTGGGGCCGCGGTCTAATATCCAAGAGCATGTTTATCCAGGAAGGAAAACTGATCCATTGAGGGATGAGACACACTTTTCTGTCACATTTCTAAAATAAAAAAAAAAAATATATAGTTTTTTTAAGGCATGAAATTTGACACTAACAGCTTTAGGGAAAGATCTCTTCTTTGTAAACCTTTGGGAAAAACAAAAACGTGAAAGGGACAGCTGTTCTGCGGTGAGACTGTATTATTTGTTTTGATCCATAACACCTAAAAGATTACAGCGACATTCACTAAGCTGTTCTTTGGAGGAGTAATGGCATCCTTTAAACACCCCCAAGATTTTGCATGTGTTCCTGAAAGTACATGATACTTTCTGGCAGCTAAAACGTGGCATTGCCTGAGCAGAAAATAGTAGCTACAGAGAGAGGACTTATCCATACAGCACACGTCGTATGTTGACTATTTCTCTTCAGTATTCCACTTTTCATTCTGTCTGCCCATGAGGCCAAATTGAACAGCTGGCTTGCTCTCGCTTCATAAGTCTCCACGGTCTGAGTGACCAGGCCGTCACACTTCGCCGCCTCCGAGTGGACAAACACAAAGTCATACAGACCGACACACACGCTCATAGACACGGACGTGAGCAGCATAGCTTCACTGTGCTGCGGTTCTTCTTGGTTGGCGGAGCAGAGAGTGGAGGAATTTTCCCCTGGCAGGACCCAGCAGGACGAGGACAGAGGCGTTTAGTTACACACACAGTTTTGTCTTTTATTCTCTTTGTGTCGGGCTTCTCCCTGTATATGTGTGTATTTTTAACCATTGAACACACACACACACACTCCCTTGACTGCTGGTCCTCTGGCTGACTGTTAGATCCCCAGATATTCTTTTAGAAGTGAATGTCTTTTGTTTTTTACATTAGATTGCCTGATCACTGTATGTAATGCAAGTGATGCTTTGATTATTTTCAAAATTATAGGAATATTGCACATTAATTTTTATTGTTGTAAATGTAGTGTATTCCACATACATTCTCATATGCATACAAATCAGTGATTGTGCATTCTCATGGGCTTGAAGCTCTGCCAGATGAATCACATTCATAAATTTCTTGGAGATTTTTTGAAGAGTTCTTCATAAATGTGAATAAGTTGTGTAAAAACTTCAGCAGCTCCACAGGAGGTAGCTCTGTCTGATAAAAACGCTTTAAGGGATAGCACTTGAACAAGTTTCAACTTTAGCAGAAGGCAAGAAACTTGGGGGGGGAAAAAAAAAGATGATGAAATATGGGAAACAAGTGAGCAGCTTTCTCCTTTGGAGGCCCAGTCTCAATCAGAATGTGACCTACTAATGTATCGCCGGGTTCATTTCACATAAAACTGAGTTTTTTCAATACCTCTCGGAAAAACTCCACAGCGTAGTCTTGAGATTTTTGAACTGCACAATGAAGCACTCTCACCACTGCATTGCACTATTTAAGATGGCATTGAATTTTATTTTTTGCAAGTTAAAGATTTAAAATTGTAAAATGGTGATTATTAAAACCACATGATCAGTAGTATAACGATGGTCATTTTCCTTACTTATGTTTTTGTTTCCAGCATTAGCTTAGCCACAATGATACATGTCCATCCAACTTGCCAAATGCATAATTGGCAAGCAGGATTTACTGCAAGTCCCCTTAAAATGACCTTTGTGGTTGCACTGAAATTCTGATGGTAACTGTGATATGGAATAAAATGCAGTTGAAATATTTGACCTATCAACACTAAACAAACCGGAAGAGAGAGCGAATACTGACTCATAACTTAAAACCAAGTCAAGAAATACTAATATTTTATGGGAGTCTAAATCAGTGCTTTGGCTATCACCTCTTTTCAGATATACTTCAACAAATATTTAAAAAAAGGTTGTGTTAATAAAAAAGTTAGAATTTGCAAAGACTCAAGTGTTGACAGCTGACCATATTTATTTTTTATTGTCATGTTTTTAACTTTTTTGCTTTATGTACAATTTAGCATATGCTGTCAATATCATGTTTTATTATTTTACATTAATGATGGGGCTGGGGGTTGCTTACAGCCCAGGTAATATCTGGTAAGCTTCATAGCACTGAACTGCATTACATACATCACAGTAAAACATTAGCATCTGGGTATAATTTATAACTTTTACAGAATCCATGGCTCCAACAAGCAATTGTTTCTCAATAACCACGGGTCCACATCCTCCGTACAAAGCAAAACATAGAACAAGGAGCTGCTTTTTACCAGGCTAATGTTCTGACTGGTTTGAATTTGGGGAAACCACACAAAAATGCTGCTAAACAAGCACTGGTTCTGGAACTGTGTCTTTATTCAGTTTGGAAACCAAAACTGATGGACGAGGGGACAAAACATTCTTTATTTGAGCCAAGAAGAAGGAGGACAGAAGGGATCTTGCATACACAGTTATACATTTTGCAGGCCCACAAAGACATTACTATTTAATAAGGGCATATACATCCTTCTCTGTATGATTTAATATGAGTGTGTGGCAGAGCAAACTCTTCTTGTAATATTTATAGAACCCTCCTTGTCGCATAGCTGTGCGAGTCTGGATTGTTTAATAAATTAAAAGGGTTAACGTTTTCTATAAACCACTGCTGGGTCAAACGGGACCAAATGTGTTCCTGTTAAATCATCACAATAATTGTTGACATTCTCAGAAAAAAATGCTAAACTGCTTTAGTGTGTTTAAGAAAAGTGTTGGCTTGAACTTGAATTGAGATTTTACAATGAGATTAATATTTAATATTATTTGGTCATTTTAAAGTAATAAAAAATGAATCTAGCCACCAGGTAGTCAGCTATTTATATTCTTTTTTAATTTATTGTTAATTAAAACATTATCCACATAGGATTTTCTCACTGGGGGAACCTGACCTGAGGGGGTTTATTGTATTTTCTGGGCAGTGTGTGACTGTTCAAACCTCATGGTAGAACATTTTTTTGAATTTTGCAAAAAATACATTTTTTTTTTCCTTCAAATTATTAAGACCATTGGAATGCTTACAATAAAGGTCATGTGACCTATAACCACTTTTATAATAATGAATATTTATATCAGATTATANATTTTTAATTAATTAATTTCAGGCCAAACATTGTCTAATTTCAATTACCTGCTTGTTTCTCAGCACAATACTATTAATTTTTTCTCCCTAATCAAGTCCACGTTTTATCTGCAGACTCAAGAATTTAACAAAGACGCTGACAATGAGGAACATTCTCGCTGAGCTGCCTAGAAGAGCCTTTGATGCTCACTGCACTGTTTTTAGAAAAAGAGAAAAGTACAAAGTCATCAATCAGCAAGAAAGAATTGTAGGTAATTTTGTATTTCGATTGTTTCGCACCAGTCTTTTTTGGGTACTTTGGGAGGTTTCACACCTGCCTTGATGACCAATAATTTAAAGTAATTTTCTGTAATCTACTCCATCTAATGTGAGGAAATTAGGTTATGTGACTCAAATAAATATCAGCTAACAACTGGAGGCCTTTTAGGAGAAATATGTCATATTTTAAAAGCCAGTGGATATAAAGAGGGAGCCAGAACAACAAGAATGAAGTATAACATAAAGTCTTCCATCAGGAAGGAAATTTCAGTTATGTTAAATTTTATGGAAATGTCATACTTTTTAATAAGTATTTATCCCCATAATTTATCAAAAATACTTAACTGCCTGTAAAAATAAACTGATATGTATGAAATTATATTAGGGGGATTGTAGATAGAATAAGGGAGGGTTTTAAAAAAACTTGGAAATTTGAGAATTTTTGACTTTTGGAACTCAGAAATTTCCAAGTTTTTTACTTGAAAATTTCTGAAATTAATCTCAAAATTTCAGAGATTTTTGATGAAAATTTACTCTTTCTCCATCCTCACATCTACAATAGCTATGATACTTCATCATAGATGTACTACAGTTTAGTATATGGTTGAAAATATTTTTATAGGTTTGAAATTATTATATTATGGGATGAAATAAACCATAGGTTTGATGTGAAGCAGAGGCAAATCAAACCAGTGTTTGACTATTTGTGGGAACAACAACAGATAGCATCTCAAACTATGGAAAAATAACAATAAAAAAGTTTAATATGCAATCAAGCTAAAGCAAGACCAGTGAAACACTGAAATTCAGAAACAGGGACTGCTTGATGATGTCCTGCAGGATTTGGGGGTTTGAGAAAAGTAACCACTTGGTCTATCATGAAGCATAATCAATGTAATCCAATTGAAAGAAGCAAATGTGATTAATTAGGTTTACATTATATATTTGGTTAAACGATTAAACTCAGTAAAACCCTGAAAATTCAAGCTT